AGTGACAAGAACTGTGCCAATGTTTGTCCCTGCCAACATCCTAATGTCTATAAAACATTGCTTCATAAACATTTTTTTTAAAGTCTCTTGAGTATTTATATATCTGGAGGGAACAAAACCTTGTAGACAGTGTGTCCAGTTTTTCTCTTTCATGTTCTACTAATATTTCATCATTTTAGACTGCCTCTTAAAAGCTGATCTTGGTTCCTTTATTTTTTCCCAGGCCTGGAGTTTGTCTCTTGAGGATTATTTTTTTTTTAACAACCAAAATGCTCAACCTCCGAGTTCTTGAAGACTTTCTCTGGTTTGACTTTTAATAAAACCATTGTTTACCTGCTGCTGTTTATTCAATTTGCTGAGATTTTCTAATACAAGTAGTTTAACTCAATTAGACTCTGCATTGCCCCTTTTCTAATCGAGAATTGTGTCAGTAAGATCCTTCTGAAACAAAGTAGTTTTCCAAGCATCCCTTTTACATGATGATTTCTGCTGATGGGTTTTTTCCTCTAGAGGTCTGCATAGATTCCTGTAAGTGAATACAAGCGATTTAGAAATGTTGCCTGTTGACTCACTTATTGGGAAACTTTAAGCAGGTGGAGAAAGTGTCATCTAATAAATAAAGTATAAATATTGAAATACATTTATTTTCACATCAATATGACTTTTTAAGTATAGTGGTGTTATGGTATGGTGATAGCTGAGGCTTCCTCACCATCGGCAAGTTATGGTCCTTAATAGTTCAGTTGTCTGAGTAAGGCCAAGGGAAGGTTTACCCAGACAGTGGATTTTCTCAAGAGTTCCTCACAGTTTCACAGAAGCATAGCCTGTTAGTTAGGGATTGTGGCCTGAATTCAAACTATACCCCTGCCCGGCCTGAACACAGTCAAAGTCAAGCCCTATTTGGTCTGTTCAGATTTGTGTTATGTTGGCATCATTTTCCCTCAGTGTTCTATACAAGGATTTCTCCCTCTTTATGTTAGTGCTTTGAAAAGTATAAAGTCTGCTCTGGTCATAAATAAATGCTACAATCATGACATATTTCTTAGGAAGAATTCACTTCTCACCTTCCTTCGTGATGCCATGCTGTCATCACTTATGTTGACTTTTGTTGCTTTACACAGCTTCAGCTACAGTTTAAACAGGATCTTGGGTGTGTATTGTGTAGCTGCAGCATTTTTTTTTCATGGAAAATGACATAACTTGAATATTTTTTTTCAGTTTTAAGTATGCATTGGGCAGGAATGGATAGTATGACCATACTTTGCAAATACTATGGATTGTTTGGGACCTAGCATTTAAATCCTGTTTATTGTGGAATGTAATCTCAAACCAAACCGATATTTAGTATTATTTGTTTATTTTAGCTGTTTTGTTAGGAGTTCCATTTTATAGTGCGAGAGAAACCTGTGTTGATGCTGCTTTAGAGCCTGTTATATTAGAATGTGCCAGCAAATGAATCAGTGTTATGGAAACAAGAACCAGACATGTAAGGACTAGTTTTCTGGCTATTTCTTTTCAGGAAATTTGCCTTCTACTTTTGGTTAATTTGTTTCCTAACTCATTGTTTTTAGAAATCTCATACAAGTTAGACCTATTTAACTCAAAAAAAAAAAAAAAGAAAAACAAACCAAAACAAAACAAAAACAAAACTGCACCAAATCCTGTTGCTAACTTGATTTTTCTAGTGGCCTCTGAAGCCCCTGTTTTACCTAAATACATAACAAATCTTGTGGTTTTACTTGCCTTCCCTGAGAGTAGCCCCAGGCTTCATTCTATGACTCAAATGGGATGCTAAGGATTTCTTATGTTATTCTTTTTCTTAAATATTATTTCAGAATTGTGGTTAGTGTAGGTGTATTGGGGAGGAGGGAGAATCTGTTTTGTTGCAACTAGCTACTATGTCTTAACTCCAAAATCAGTCACTAGTATAAGTAGGCTTCTAATAAAGCAAGAGTGAAACTCTGTGAGCCTGGTGCCAACTTTTCTTTGGTGAACGCCTTCCTAGTTTACAGATGTGTAAGCTGGACCAACATTAGTCCCAAAATCTGTGAAGGTATATTTGATATGGCCTAAAGTCAAAAGGTTGTTTATTAATAAAAGGCCTTCATATTTGGCTATCACTAGTCATGTAGTTCAATTTTAAAAAACCAAACGAAAACAACAAAAAAAGACTATAAGAAACACAAAAAAAAACACCCCCAAAAACACACTGTGTCTTAGTATAGTAATCTATTACTCATTACTTGTAGATCCTGATTTTGAAATACCAATAAAAAGTTCAAAGAATGTGGACTCTAAATTCTTTTTCCATCCCACATGGACAGTTAATAACCATATTGAAAAGATTGCGTAAGTATTGCTGGTTATAGTTCAGATTAGCAGGACAGCCATAAAGGCTGTATTATTTTACTGCTAATTTGGCCCAACAAGGCACAAACATTTATTGTTATCCCATTACTGTAATTCACATATTTTTCTAGAAGTTAAGAACTGCCCTTAAAATAAAGAGAGGACTCTTATGAGCAGTATGTAGCTGTTCCATTAAACTAAATCCTAGGCTTTTTATTATCAGCATTTGTGCTAGGTCCAGGAACTGGATTTACTTTTCATCCCATTTTAAGAGTCTGATTGCAGAAAGTAATCCAAATGTTTCTCCGCAAGGTATGATGGAGTTCATAAGTTTTTTGAAATAATTGTTTTATACCGGTTCTCTACCAGAATGTCACAGTTGTAGTGAGAAACTGTAGCGAGGAAGGACTTTTTTGTCTCATTTTTGTGACAGTTTTACTATGCTATGACGTTCTTTCATTAAGGCACTGTCTCTTTTTACTTTAAATACACATTTGTAGGTGATGAAGAATCTTTATGTTTTATTGCACTTTCTGTAAACTTATCTTTGCCTAGTTATTTGTTTACTTACTCTAATGCAGGATGAAGCGGGTATTTTGGAGTATATTTGGAGATAATTGGCTTGGCAGATGCTGACCCCAGTTTGAAGTAGATGTCTATTTTAGAACCATAGCTCTGCCAAATAGTTCAATTAACTGTCTGAAGTTTGGTGCAAGTTATCATATTTAGATGAGAAATTTAAACAGTGTGCGTCCACTTGAATCAGCTGCTGTTTCAGCAAAAACATCTTGTACAATTGATGATTTAATTTTTCAATTTCCTAGCTTTGTAGTAATAAGTTGAGTGAATCATAAGATGTTCTGTATTAGACTACTGTTACTTTTAAAAATAAATCTAAAAAGCCACTGTAAAATGGGTTTGGTTCAAATATAGTGAGATTCCAGATAATTCCCCCCTTTCTCCTTTACTTTGTCTTCCTACTCCTTTTTGCTTGGGAAAGATAGTTTCCTCACTATGCTGGAAATACATCACTGATACAGCTGAGGGTAATTGACAGTCCCCCAAATCCGAAACCTTCGAAATGAAAGCATCCAATGAACATAATTCCAGCTAGTGGGAGAAAGAAAAGAGAGGACTTGGAATTAAGATTTTCATTCGTCTTTTACTTCCTTTATCAGCAAATGGTCTTACAATCTTCAAATACTAAAAATCAAGTAAAATCTTCTTATCTACTTAGGAAAGAAATTTAACTGGTCTTTTTGTTTATAAAGGCAGGGAAAAAACTGAAAAGATACGTCTAATACTATATATAAACTTTATAATCTCTTTAAAAGAAATTAGAACAAACATGTTCCATAGAGTTTTATAGATGTGTAGTGTACATTTACTATCATTTGTGTGTATGTGCAGCTAGTGAATATTCAGTAGTGATAGAAGCAAGATCAAATTTACATCTGATAGGCTGTTTCCATCATTGGTATTCACAATTGTATGATCACACAATCACATATGCATCTTATAGCTGCCAAAAAAGAGGATGGTTTGAAATCTGCATCACTAAATTTACTTTAAGATGCCATTATGCATCTTTAAGATGGCATCTACTCTTCTGGTACAGTTCAGGTGTTAGTTAACATTCTGGTAGGAAAGTGAATTTTTTAAAAAAGATACTTTCAAGTGAAAACTTGGAAGTTGCATTTAGATGTTATCCCTTTCTTTGTACTACACTGATAGTAAAAGAATGCGAGAGGCTGTTGTCCTAAGCGAGGGAGCGATTCCAAAGCTAAGTTAATGGAGGAACCTTGAAGCAGTAAAATAGCTATTTAAAATAATACATTCTTTTTCTTCTAAAAACTTTCTGTTGTCAAGAAAAGTAGTGGGAGGAGAAATAGAATATATACAACAACTATTTTAAAGATTGTGTGCCGTCCTGGATGCAGAAAAGCTGATTTGAAATAAGTTACGTGAGCCTCTTAAAATCAGAATAAAAGTATTTAGTCCAAACCACTTTAAAAGCTCTGAAAGATAGCCAAGAAAAGTCCATGGTCATTCAGAAAAGTAGTGCCGACAGTGGTGTAGTATTTAATTCACTATGCTGCTGCTGTTCTTACTGGATCTATTCAAAGTTCTTAGACTGATAGCTAAAAATACAATTGCATATTGCTCATGTCCCTGTTGGAGCCAAAGTGCATCTTTTTTTTTTTTTTTTTTTTTTTTGGCATATAAAAGGACTTCAGGTTGTCTGTTATACTTGTGTTACAGGTTCAACAAAACTGAAGCATTGCATTTTTGGCTGTCTGCTTTGTCTCTTGATTTTCAAGCTTTATGGTTGACACAATCAAAATATGATCTAGCTTTGTATCACTGTATTTCTTCTGTAGTTCAATATCCTTCCACACTCTAAAAGAATAAATTCTGCAGATACTTTGAGTTAAGCAATACAGAGTTTAAGATACAAATGTCTATATAGTCCCCAAAGATTCTCACTAACTTGGAGAGTAAAGTAAAACCTATTCTTCATTTGCTGATTTTATGTAAGAATTACCGAGTACTGTGTCATTAAAGAAAAAAACAGTGGTAACAATATCTTACCACTTGATGATTTTCTTCATATATAATCCATTTTGCTAATACCATTTTTACTCTTTCAGGAGTTTTATGAACATACAAAAACACTCTGGCAAGACGAAGGTGTGAAAGCCTGCTATGAGAGATCCAATGAATATCAACTGATTGATTGCGCGCAGTAGTAAGTATTGTTTCTATTCTGCTGTATATTGACTGCGATATAAAATTTTTTTTATTGTATGTTAATGACAGTGATTTGGATGGTCCTGATGCTTACTTTTTCTTACCGTGGAAAACGATTGTGTGCTACATGATGAATTTTTGGTAATCAGCTATTCAGAGAAGTGGGAAAAGCTGATGCTCAGTTAGACAATAATACCTATACTGAAAATTTTGCAGGTGATTTCGAATGGTCTTAATACAGACTGACACCTTAATGCAGTGGATAATTGTACTATCTCAAAGACCAAATTTCCTGCTTCTTCTACTTAGACAAGTTCCTTTCCAAATGATGGCTTCAGATAATGCAGCAAGTTTTAGTAGGTTGGAAAGTACATTGGTGTGAAACATTCCCATGTTTGTAGCTTGTGTTTTTAATGCAGTTTATTTATCTAAAAACAAAGAGATGGCAGCAACAACCATGGGCAGCAGTCTGTGATCAGTCACCAAGACTTCTGCTTGTGTGCCTTCATGTACATATCTGAGAATGATTCATACTCTTCTGCTATTTATACCACTGTGATAATTAGTATCGTCATGAGACACTGCTGCATGTTTGCAGTTCCTTTTCACATATAGCAATATAATATGGTTCAGATTTTTTTTTATGGCAGATGTTTGTGATAATTGTGACCACTCCTGGTATTTTTGTGCTGTATAGTCAAGAAATGCAGGACTTAAATTTGGAATATTAATGGTTAAAACTGTTCTTCGTTAGTTTATGCTCTCTCTGCTTCTTTTGGAGAAGCTGAAATAAGGTTTAATGGTCAAGGAAATTCTTATTTCACGTGATGATGGACAACTGCATGTCTTAAAGAAGATTTGATGAAATAAAATTTGTAAGGCTCCTTCTTTTTGTTTGTTTTGTTTAGGTAGACTTAAAGGTAAATCAACAATTAGCTCTGAAAAGAGACCAGGGAGATAATTTTACTATGACTTGAACAGCTCCAGGTCTTTATGAACCTCTTTGAAGTTTTGCCATTGTTTCTAGTGTGAATTTGTTTGATGTGTAGCAATGTCTTTTTGCATTAGGTGACTAATGTTTGATCATTTGGCGTGGATCTTTTTGCAACTTCATTGCTACAAAATAATAAAATACTACAAGATTTTAATTTTCTGTCAACTCTCCAGTAAATTTTGTCTTTCTAGTGTAAAGCTGATAGAAATGGGAAAGAACTAGTTTTGTTTCTGATAGTGTTTGATTATCTGTTTCTGGTTAGTGTTTGTTAATAGTCAACTTCTGTGATAGGAAGAAGCAGATATTATTAAGCACTAAGGGGGTTTTGTGTTGCCTTTTTTCAGAAGAGGAACAAGTTTTGTTCTGCCTGGAATGCACAGAAGAAAGCTAAAATTTTTATCATCCCTGATTGCTGGACACTGACTTTTTTGTGGGTCAGCAAGGGGGATGGCCTTCATGATGGTTTTACCATCCTGCTCCATCTAGTGGAACGCTTAATTCTACATCATGGGCTGTTGAGCCAAAAATAAATCTTATATATTGCTGACAAATTACAGATTTTTTTTTTCTAAGATACTATTGCTGTTTCCTTCTAAAAATATTTCATAATTCTAATATTTATTGAATTTGATAGTGAAGTATATGACATTTTCTTGCAGAAGCTTTCTAATTGTTAATTTTGGTAGTTCTTGTCCTTTCTGGCATTTCTGATCGTGCAATGGCATTGTTTTTAATAACAATATGCAAAGTAAGAGTTTTTTAAAAGCAAAATGTTTGTTTGGAGGTTAACATCACTTTGAAATTCTGAACTTGTTTTTATTATATTAAATTTTCAACGGACCTGACAAAAATTACCTCCTGTAAAATCTGACATGATTGATACCTTGGAATTAACCTAGTGAGCATGCTGTTTAAAAAAAAAAAAAAAAAAAAGTAGCAAAGGCAGAATATAGCTGAGATTTATCAGGTGAAGTCTATTTTAATTTGAATGTGCAAGCTACTGTCATTAGAGCAGAGAGAAAGTTGAACAAATTGTGTTGGAGTTGTCAGTTCTTTTAGAGAGACTTGGAGAAAAGTCTTGGGTTCTAAACACTTTCTGCTTTTGAAGTCCCTGTTTAAAACAAGAAGGGCATACTTAAAATGGAAGGCGGAAAAGTGGCTTTTTTCTTTGAAGATCAATCCAGCTTCCAAAAATCCCTTCTTGATTTAAAAGTTGATAAATTCTTAAATATTAATGGTTTCTTTGTTCAGTGAATCACTTTAAAATTCTAACAATGTTTCTTGTTCACAAAAATTAACTTTTTATAGTTGTTTGTAAAATTTTAATTTTTTTTTAAACTGTCATTTTCTGAAGTGAGAGTTGCTTAGTGTAAAGTTTGTCTTGATATGGTCTCATTTAACATTCTGAATTTTTTAAAAAAGAATTTTTTTCACTCTTGGAAGTGACATGATTATACGTAAGAAGATTTGCAAGGAGATTCTGCCAAATGTTTAAAAATCAATTTTGTCTGTCTTTTATTAGGGAACAGTGAGGACTGTATATCTTACAGGGCTTTGGCTTTCAGAAATGTTAATACCAAAATGAAATTAATTTCTGTTTCTGCCAAACCTGCCCAAAATGCATGCAGAGCTCCTTCAGGGGTGCTGAAGCATTCGAGGGCTGCTCTGTGCCGCCTGTCGTCAGGGTCTTGTCCTCTGCTCGTGTGCAGCCCCCGGCAGCCTGCCTGCTGTCTTCTGGGAACTGGCACAAGTCCTTTCCCTCCTCTTACTTCCAGCTTTGGTTAATGGTTTGATGGTGGCAGCGAGGTACTGGGAAGGCCATGAGGACCTCCCTAGTTCTCTTCTGTTCCAACATTGCCACTTTTACAATTCTGCTTTTCATGGACAAAAACTGGTTCTCCTTGTAGCTTAGCTACAGAAGGTCTTTTCAGAGTCAAGGACTGTATGGTGTAGCTGCAGGATGCTGGAATATCTTGAAAGGAAAGATGTTGGGGAGTTGGAGGCTTAAACTCTTGCAGAGAGAAGGGAAAGAGCTGATGAGTCAGGAGCTCTCCTAGGTGAGCAAAGGGGTGAGAGGAAAGCCACTTTTTGCTCCTTGTCCTTTCTCAGGTACGTGGGAACAAATAAAATTCTCATCCTAATGTGTTGTATCTGCCTAACTCGAATGTACGTGTTCAGAGTCTGGAAATGGTATTTTTCACTTGCTCCTGAGCAGTAACTTTAAATACCACAGTACTTCCTGCTGACTTGCTACAATTTTTCAGTGTTTCCCCATAAGAAGTTCACAATAATATGCACTATTATCATTGCTCCACCAAGTTTCTGGTTGCATTGGCTCAGGAAAGACAACTTTACCAAAAGCCACAGGTACTGTCCTGGCTTTCCATTTAACTGCAGTTGTGATCTTTGGAGGAGCGAAGCTGGGAGGTCTGGCCAGTAACCTCATCTGCTGGATAGCGCTTCTGGTATCCCGCCCTTTATCCTTGAGCTCACCGGCTAAATGAAAATGTCACTTCAGAGGAACCCTGTTCATTTTGAAAGAGTAGCTGCCTCTGCTCATCATGAGCTTTACTGTACTTCCTGCCGAGGCATATTTTACAGTCTTGCGAGGCAGAGAAAGGAAAGGAGGCTGTTTTCCTTTTCTCAACTGGCCTAAGGAGTTAGTTTCAATTCTGCTTTTAGAACAGCATGGTCTGTGAGGTTGTCCCCAGTTTCACTCTGAGAGGAACGTATTTTAGCTGCGAGGAGGGAGCATTATCAATGAGGAAACCAAATTTCACTGCTCTTGCATCTTGTGGGGATGTATACTGAAGAGAATGAATGTTTGTACTGAAGCTGCCATGTGATACTGCTCATGGCTAATAATACACAGAAGAATGCAGAAGTGTCTAGAATATAGAAAACCCCAAATGGTGATAAATAAATTATTTACCATCCTTCATATTTCTTTCCTTGAAGGCACAGGATTTCATTTTATTTAGAATATATTACTTAAGAATATAGGAGCCATTTCCACTGTGATGTGCCAAGACTTGTTTGTCAAATATATGCCTTCTGTCAAATATAAACAAACATGATCTCTTTGAAGTGCTGTTGTTGCTAATACTTCTACCTTGATTTTCACTTGAGGAGCTCTGTTCTTAAAGCTTCACAAATACACAGCAGTCAGAGTAAGTAGGATCTCTCCCATACAAATGCACTGTTTGTGGCATGAGGGCATGAAAGATGCCAGCACCATCCTGTAAGGTCTGAGTCAACGTCTGTGGATGTCCTGAAGAAAGTTACTTTAATGTCAGTAGCCGCTGGATTAGCTGTGTAGCAAAGCTTGGGTACATAAGCCTCCTAGTGCATTTTCTAGACTTGCTAATACTGGGCTGCGTCCACAGATGCTTGAGTTTTTGCTTTAGTTAGCCTTGGCTTAGTTAGGCTCCTTGGCCGCCAATTTGATTTTGTGCTTCATTTTACACTACGCTTTCTCTGTGTATCTCCTGTCTGGAGCTTCCTGGTTTTGACTGGGGTGGAAAAGGAAATAATGTGAGAGACAGTCTTTGCAACTCATTTCACACCCTCCGATATCAGGAAGGACTGGAAGTAGCATGAGGGAGCCCATTCTCACGCTATTTCCTGCCGCCAGCCGTGCCGGCTTTTCTCCTGCCGCCTGCCATTTCAGGGAAGGAGAAAGCACGGGGAGGTGGCTGCTCTAGGTGCAGAGTCGCATTTCTTGAACTTCAGCACCAGCAGAGCCACTCCGATAGCCTGACACTGTGCCAGGCTGTTCCAGAAGAGTTTTATGAGAAGTATTTTTTAAGATGTTTGTTTTTAAAATACTTATCAAAGAAAGGAGGGGAGGGCAGCTATTAGCCAACTGCTGTGCAGGGCTGCTAAAGGATCAGCAGATGTGGACACACTGTTTTTTTAATTTCTAATTTGGTATGGGTTATAAATTTTTTATATTAAGATTTATGGTGTGTTTTATTTCTGGAATTGCTGACTTGTAGAGAGCA